TGATGCTGGAGGCTGGTGTTTGCTTTGCAGGATGCCAGCTCCCCATTTAATTTCAGAGGGTGTTTTTTAATTAAAACCATCTTTGAAAAAAAAATTAAGTTAGATGGGACAGAGAGCCTTACGGGCTTGCAGAAACTCATAAATAGTTTAATAACCAGTATAAGGTTATTACATTCCCAAAAGATCTTAGAGCAAGAGTTTAAAAGTCCCCAAAAACAATAAAGGCAAGGATTATTTTTCCTCTAACAACATCTGAAGAGCTCACCCATTTTAAAATGCAATCTAATGGTATATTGGTTTTAGTCTTCTAAAACCATATTAATTAGGTTTGAATTGGTAAATAATAAGCAGGACAATAATTCAAATTATATGTGCAATGCATGTAAAAAAGGGACATTTCAGAAGACCGTTGGGGCTGCCCACATTTTGGAGTTTTCCACTAAACAGATTCCTCCTTCCTCAGAGCTAGCTTAAATGGTCTTCCTAATATTCTGTTTCTGTGGATTTCACTCTTAGCTTTTCATTTTCTTCATGATGCTACAGTCAAGCCATCAAGATATACTTTCGAATGATAGTCATGACGGCAGGCTGAGTGGTGTCAAAATCAGCAAGATGATAGTGTCACAAAGCCTTTTAAACACCTTTGCCAGTTTTGATCCATCCCTTTAACTGCCACAAGAGTAGGCCCACAGCTCATGAATAAGTTGTTTGAACATCCACTGACATAAAAAAGGAAAGGACTTCAATAATTTATTTTTATTTACATATCGTATTTAGAGACCACCCATCTCCCTCATAGAGTGATAGTTGCAGCAGCATCCTTGACTTTTTGTAAACTCCTTTTCCTCTTATGAACAACATGAAGGAGAGGAGCTTTTTCAGGCTTCAGCTAAAAGAAAAAATCTATTTTAGTATTCAGAGTGTGCGGTCCTAGGAAATAATACTTCCTATAGAAAAATAAATCAATAAGTGATGTTGCACTGAATGGCTTTTTAGGAATATTCATTTTAGCTGCAAATTCAACATTCCAGATTTCACTTCGTATGCTTTTGTAGGATGGATGGACGGATGGACGGATATTCTACACCAGGGGCATCCAACTTTGACAACTTTAAGACCAGTGCACTTCAGCTCCCAGAATTCCCCACGCATGACTGGCTGGGGAATTTTGGGAGTTAAAGTCCACGGGTCTTAAAGTTCCTAAGGTTGGACACTCCTGTTTTATATAATTATTGGAGTAGTTATGCATGCTTTAAAAAATTCAAGAAATGTGGTTTTGCCACCTGTATATTTACAAGACTTTATACATAGAAGTGTTCGCCTCTATGTGTCTATCTATAGTGACCTAGCATAATCTCTGTTTAACTTAAAAATATGAAATAAATAATAAGTATAATGAAATTTCAAAAAATTAAAAGTATTCAGTAAATCGTAGTTAAACATTAGGAAGAGAATTGTTAATTGTAATGTAAGCCTGTCACACTAGCTTGAATTTTTCACTTTGCTTTTTTACACACTTTGCACTTTTTCCATAGATGTTGAAACTTTGGAAAAAGTGCAAATAAGAGCAACAAAAATGATTAAAGGCCTGCAGAGTAAAGCATATGAAGAATGGTTGCAGGATTTGGGGTATAGCTAGTCTAGAGGGGAAAAAGGACTGGTGGGGACATGATAGCAGTATTCCAGTATTTGAGAGGCTGCCACAAAGAGGAGGGTAATTTATTTTCCAAAGCACCAGAGGGCAGAACAAGAAACAACGGATGGAAACTAATCAAGGGAAGAAGCAACCTGGAATTAAGGAGAAACTTCCTAATGGTGAGGACAATTAACCAGTGGAACAGCTTGCCTCTAGAAATTGTGCATGCTTCATCACTGGAGGTTTTTAAGAAAAGACTGTCTGAAATGGTACAGGATCTTCTGCTTGAGCAGGAGGTTGGACTAGAAGACCTCCAGGGTTCCTTCCAGCTGTATTCTGATTCACTGCTATGTCAGGTAAAATCCATTTCCATTTTCTTTTCAGGTTGGCATCCCAAACAAAACACATTTGAACTCAACATATGGGAATACTAAGAAAAGATGCTGATTCTAAGTTTTTATAATTTTTTATCATGGTATTTTGCTGTAGGTTCTTTTTAGTTTTGATTAAAAAGTGACAAAAATAATTTGCTGTCAGAAAAGAGAAGATTATTTACAGACTCTGTACCTCACAAAGTTTTCTCACTTTGTTCTATTTTTGTTGTTGTTGTTGTTGCTGCTGCTGCTGCTCCTTACTCAGCCTTCCCCTTTTTACCTTTGTCCTATTAGTACTTGGCTTGTAATACAATCTGCTTCTAAGTGCACTGGCATTTTTTTTTCCTATACTTCTTTCATTTGAAACTTGTGTGCCAACTTGCAGGTGTTTAAACATTTTTTCTCCTTTTCACTGCAAGCACCTGCATGCCTAAGCTGGGATCTTGGTGGTTTCACTTAGCATTTTTTTTCTCTTTCAGGGCAGTTCACCCTTACACAGATGGAGGTTGGGGGAGAAGGGGCAATCCAAGCGATGCCTTGCCTCATAATCGGATTGTTTGATTATAGGGAAAGCCAGTGGGGCTTCACAGTGTTTTTGAAACGTAAGTATCAGGGACCCCTCCCCCCCCACAAAACCGGGCTTAATGTGCAGTTTCTTTGAAGTGTGAAGATATCCCATAATTGCCTACGAATCAATGAGTGAAAAAGAATGGTGGATATGAGCAGAATCCATCCAGGGCAATTTGGCTAAGCCATGACAGATTTCAACTGGGCAATAGGCCTGTGAAATGGTCATCTGGTTTAATGTGCGGGCGGTTTAATATCTGTTTTTGCTATTCTTTGGTCTCTATATTAGGCTGTTTCCGACCCGTTTAGCTTGGGAGACCAGTATATAAGGGAGAAACAAAATGATGGGTACTCACTGAACGTCATTATGGATGTGTTAAGGACATAAAAGCAGATTGTCTTTCACAATTTGGCTTTCTATTGTTGGAAGAAACATCCTTCTGGGTTCAGTTCCAAGTGGGGAAAAAGACACTGTGTAGGCATTGGACTTTTTCCCTTCAATCAAAAAGAATGAACTTCTGAAAACCAGGTGTTTCAAAAGGAATCCTTTATTGTAAGGGATTTTATATCAACCCTAGGCAAAGCAGAGTCTAAGATATCCCCAGGTATACAGTCATAGATAAAGGAAATTAGAATCCCTCCCCTTATTTAGATGTGGATTTAGTCAAACAAAGAACCAACACACTAATTTCCCCTCTCCCCTTCTCTGGGAACGTATCATAGGAGAGTTCCCAGGAGTGTCTTCCAGAGCTGGAATGTTTATGGTTCCTTTTCATCTTGTTATCTCTTCAAGAGGTGACAAGTTTCTAGACATCTGGCCCCACTCCTCCAGTTGTATATCATATGCAAGTTATACAGAATCAATATAGGATTTAATATATTCAGGTTACATCCAAAAGGATTACTTGTACCAACTTCCCCCCTCCCCTTCTTCTTCCATCAAAGAATGGCAGATACATGGATCTGACACGCTGGAAACATGGAGGCTGTTTGGAAAGATGGTTTAATGGTGGACAGGACCACATGACTTAGAGCTCCAAAGTGAAAAGGATGATCACATGCTTCAAGATGAAGGAAAAAAGAAGAAAGGGCTGAGATGCTGAGACTGCCTGATTTTATACCCTCTGTTTGAATTTGATTTGATTTGAATTTGAGCTGGTATTCTGATTGGTTGTCAGGCTCCCAGGGATGGGGGACTTAACTAACTTTGTAGGCTTTGTCTGGACCACATGACTTCACCTGAGTTTTGGCTGATACAATCTTCCCAGGCCAAGTGGTGAGATGGGAAGAGGCCTTTATTATGTAGAATACTCTGGCCTAGGCCTTAATGGCCCATTAGCAAAGGGGGGGGGGAGTTTCTGCTTCTGAGTTCTACTCTTTTTAGGGGAAATATTCTGCCTTTTTAAATATTTCCTAGGATATTTCATTTTTCTAGGAGAGGGGTGGATGCTAACTTCCTACACTCTTTGGTCCACACACCCTGCCTTCACTTCCAAAACATCTGGAAGAAAATTTTAATTGGAGTACTGGACAGGATCTTATTGAACCAGATCTTGAAACTTTGTAAGTTCCCCCCCCCCCCGCCCCCTGCAGATAAGTTACTAGGTAATTGTAAGGTCTTCAGACTTTATAAATCTGGGCTCTTTAGAACTTCATTAGTCAAACAATTTGAGCTGTTTAATCAAACCAACCAACCACTTGGACTATATATTTGCTTGCCTGCTCTTTATTCTACTTTTGATAACTTTTGGCTTAGACTATCTTGGACAACCAATCTCAGTGAAAATTTTGGGCAGTTTAGAAATATGAAATATAAATTAATAAAATATATTACTGTATTTTCTAAGGCCATAGAAATTAAGTCTTAACTTTTGTTTAACTGTAGGGGCGAATGGCCTCAATAAGAAAAAAAAGATACTGGAGGTTATCAAGGTAGCTTGTCCTTCTGCTTGTATCAATACTCAACTGGAGTCTCCACGATTCCTGCTTTCCCTGCCCTGGATGCAATCCTTGGCAATGCTGTAACATTGTCTTGGAGGCCTCACCAACTAGCCGCTTGGTCCCACTCCAAGACATCATCGCAAGTGCCTTTAAATACCCAACTTTCCACCCCATAATATGATGCCCTACAATGCCTATTTTCTCCAGCCATAAGAGCCAAGGGGAGGTTACCCCTTGAGCACAAAGGACCAACACCATCGTTGACAAATGGTGATGAAATCACTTGGGCACATTCAGAGCTCTTCACTGGTATGCCTGCATTACTCAACTGAAAGAGAGCCGAGCGTCTACCATCTACCACAAAGCTAACAAGCCAGGGTGTGCTAGGAAGCTGTCTTGCAATACAACTCCACCCTTGGAATGTTGCTGCTGGGATATTCTTCCTCCTTTTTTTCCACCGCCTTGTTGTCGTCCTCCTCTTCACTCCAAGAATGCCAAAAGGATCTCTGACACTTTGATGGCCTTTCAGCCTAGAAAGGGGAATTTCAGTGTAGCAGATGGAGGGACCTGGGAAAGGCCACTGAAGAAGAGAAGGATTCCCAAAACAAGTAAGTTCCTTTTTTTTCCTTATTACAATGGAGGGGGGAAGAAGAATACCGCTGAATGACTGTGTAGCTAAACATGTTTTGACGTTCTTACGGCAGTGAGACTGGTGTCTGGAAAAAAAATATGGATTTATTTATTATATGGGGATGCAGTTTTTAAAACTGATAGATGCAATTCTGGTAAAATTCTCCATCCAGATTAGGTCTTTGAAACGAAACGTGGCTGAAAAGAATCACTTAGCAGGAAGGCAAATGTCTGAGCTTGCACGAGAAACCTGAGAGGCAGTCTGCGGGTTTGAATGAATTAAGCAAAGGCTTTGGAATGATTTGGGAGTTTCTGCAGTTGGTCTGGGACTGTTTTAGGAGTGAGAAAACATTATGCACCTCTTCTTAATTCTGGAGTATCAGATCCCAGGGAAACTGCAGACAAAATCAAAGTATTAAAATGAAGGAAATTTCAAGAGGGAGTTACAGTCTTTCAAAAGAGATCAGAGTCAATTTGATTTATAGTGAGAAAAAAATCAAATATTAAATATAATCATACTCTTCTACTTTTCAGCAGGGCCTTTTAAAGGTGGAGTTTAGACAGAAGCATGTACTTTTTCCAGAAAGGACATGCCATTAAATCAGTGTCAACAATGGTGCATCATGGTTTCAGTGGGAACTGAAGTTTAATTTGATTACATTTTGATTACACCACAATGCTATAGTTGAGTTGAAATCAAGGTTGGATCCAGACTCAGACAGTCAAAATTCCATGGTCCATGTGGCTTCAGTCATGAGCAGCTACAGATATGATAGTTCTGAACAATAATAAGAGGTTCAAAGCTCTTTATTTGGGATTTCATCTTGAGGATAACAGAAATTCATCCCTAACACAATCTTCTGACATAGGGTATTTGTCCCTCCAATGGGTCAATGGGCCACCGAGTGAGCATCGGTTCTAGAAATGAATGGAAATAATATCTTTGGCATCTTTCACGACAGACTCCATGAAGGATTTTCCCCCCAATCCCAGAACACAAATTAGAGGAGAAGAGAATTAATTTGTGCCTAAGAAAAACACCTAGCAATAGGAATATGATCAATGTTCTCAGCAGGGGAAAATGGGATTTGTAGTCTCTTTTTCCTTTTTAACGAGCAGGGTGAGATGCTCACTCTGTCTTTTTAAGAAGAGATTTTCAAGCCAACAATTTTTTTGTACTCATTCTTTTAAAAAAAAAAATGCAATCAAAAAGTTTACTAGATGCAGACCTAGAGATACTGTACTTTCTAAATTTGGTTTATGCATATATGAAAGGGTTTAAAAGTCCAGCCTGCTTTCAGCAGTGTTGTCTTCTTTGCTGTAGACATTTTTTTACTATTCTGGATTGTGTATACTGTAAGTAATCCTCAACCTATGATCACAACTGGAAGCAGAATACCTGTTGCTAAGCAAGGCAGTTGTTGTGCCCAATTTCCCTCTGTGCCATGGTTGCTAAGTGATTCACTCCAGTTGCTACACGAATCCAATTTCCCTTATTGACGTCGATTGTTGGAAGCCAGCTAGGAAAGCCAAAAATCATATGACCTTGGGATGCTGCAACTATTATGAATACATCCCAGTTGCCAAGCACAGAGATTTTGATCATGTGACTGTGGAAATGTGACGGTTGTGCAAGAACCAGTCATAAATTACTGTTCTCAGTGCCATTATAACTTCAAATGGTTGCAAGTCAAGGACAACCTCTGAATTATATTACACTACATTACACTATACAATAATATATGCTGGGAATTGTAATCCTGCAAATTTTGGAGTGCATCCTTTTGGGATAAAGCTGTTCATATGTTTTGAATTTTATCTATGAGAATACTTATGATTTAATTTGTTATATAAGCAGAAAGGCAGCTGCTACTTAGTTGGCTTTTAATTTTGCATACATGCTTCATCTAAATAGACTTCTGGAAAAGTCCAAAAGAGAGGCTCTGTAGAATATCAGCTATGATCAGTGGGAGAAGACAGTTCTTGCATATACATTCTTACACCTGTGTGTTTTGAAGGACATCTATTCTTGTTTATGGCTTGACATACAGAGCTCATATCACCTCTGTTATCTTGCCCAACTCCCCAAATGCACTGCAAATATTTAAAAATAACTACTACCATTACCCACCATATACTGTATGTAGAAAAAATGATAACCCAATTACAACACTTTTCCTTATAAAAAGAACCCTCTTCCAAAATGGAACAATTCTCAGGTCCAAGACATGGAAGAAGTATGGAGAGCAGGTCTTCTATCCAAGCCATGATAACTTCTAGTCCACCGGATGATTAATTATTATGTGTCAGTTCGTTTAGGAGGAATAGCCTGCGCCAACCCTTCCATTAAACAGAATGAGGCAGTGGCCTTGGGCGTCAGATCCTGTGGGTAAGCAACAGGACTTACCAGCTATTCCTCTTGAACTTGCTAGCCATTTCCTTTCAGTGAACTGAGACACAAGGAGATTCCCGTCTGTCCTGAACTCCCAAACTGGTATTACCTTTGGTAAGATTTTTTTAAAAAGTGAATCTCTCCCTGAAACCAAAATAAAATTCTTCTCATTTTCTACTGATGGATCAAGAGAATCTGTGCCATTTTGTTCCTCTCCAAATGTAGCAAAATGACTTGGACCATCTCTAAGAGGGCATTGGAAAAGAAGTTTCTGTGAGCTTCAGTGAGGGCATCTTCTAATCTATTATTTCTCCTCTGCTTGTCCGCATCTGTTGAGCTTAATTCATTTTTCAGACCAGAAGGAAAGCAGTGGACAATGATATTCCATTTCCTTACACCTCTGGTTACAAGGAACAGAAAATAAACATCATGAAGGAGAGAAGGAAGAGACAGAAGCAGTGGTTGTATTCGACCGGTTCGGCCTGGTTTGCTGAACCGGTAGCTCTGACAATCATCTGTGAGTGAACTGGTTCACTCCAGTGATCACTCTCACCTGTCCCGGCTCTATACTGACCTTTATTTCCTGCTTTTCAACTTCAGCTGCTTCACGCGGCACAGCTGATTGCCTTGCATCAGCTGTTTTGCACATAGGGCCTGCAGCAAAAGTTGAGTTGCAGATGCTGTGCATGTGTAAAGCACGTGCAAAGCACGTGCTCACACCAAACCAGTCGGAAAACTTTTTGAAACCCACCCCTGGACAGAAGAGACAGAACACTCTAAGTATGATGAACAATTGAGGGAACTAGATATGTCCAGTCTAATGAAGAAAAGGACTAGGGGCGAAATGAAAAGCACTTTTTCGGTACTTGATGGGCTGTCACAGAAAAGAGGGGTTGACCTATTCTCCATAGCATCAGAGGGCAGGACAAGAAGTAAGGGGTGGAAGCTCATTCAAAAGAGATCCAACCTAGGACAAAGGAGAAATTTCTGGACAGTTAGAACAATTAGTCAGTGGAATGGCTTGTCTGCAAAGTTGAGGGTGCTCCATCACTGGAGGTTTTCAAGAAGAGATTGGACAGCCATTTGACAGTCCTTGGTGCTCTCTGAGCATTGTTGTTTTCTTGCGGACATTTCATTACCCAACTAGGTAACATTATCAGTGCTAGAAGGGTTTCCTCTGTGTTTAACACACTAGTGACTTTCCCTGTTAGTGGATGGGAGAGTTCTTGTTGGTTCCTTGCTTAGGCTGTTGTTTATTGTTAATTCAGTAAAACAAGTACAAATAGTAAAACCAATGCAGACAAATAAGCTAATAGTAAACAACAGCCTAAGCAAGGAACCACCAAAAACATCCCACCAACACTGACAGGACAAGCCCATTGTACAAAAATAGAGAACAAACCTCACTCCCTTCTAGCTCTGATGATGTTACCTAGTTGGGTAATGAAACATCTGAAAGAAACCAAACTCAGAGAACATCAAAGAGTCCACAATTCAACTCTGAGCTACAAATATTTTCTTCTATGAGAACTCAGAAGTCTTTATACTTATTTCATAACAAATTGGCAAGAGATTGGTGTGATTGTTATCTCCTTTTTTTCTGCAACTCTCTCTCCATCTCTCTGTAGCGTCCCTGAATGCCCAAGCTTCATTTCAATCCCAGAAAAGGAAATCTCAAGCTCTCTCCTTTCTTTGGAGTTTTTCATCTGCTCTTAAGACATTTTGGAGAACTTCTCCTTTGTCTGAAGATCAGAGAATGATCCAGTCAGTTTCTCCACAAATTTGGTGGTGAATTGCACCTAGTGCTAAAAAAAAAAAACAAGTCAGCAAGAAAGAAAATCTTGTCATTGATTTAATTGCTATCTTCCCATATATGAAAAGTAGCTAAACTTGTACCTTATCGATATGATATACATCCTTAAAACTTCACAAGGTTTCCATGCGTGGAGCATTCCAGAAAATAAATTATATTGGTATCACAGGTATTTGGATAGAGAAGAAAACAAACGTCAATGCAAAGAATGAGTCCTAGGAATAACCTACACACGTCCTAGGAATAACCTGCTTTTATGTAGGCAAGTAGATACATTCCTGGAACTGGGTGGCACCACATTAACTATTTTGGTTGTAAGAGTTAATTTCCTTATGTCCTTTATGATGCACCACTTGCTATCAGTTCTATTCATGTGCTGAGACCCCCACTAATATAGTTGAGCTGGTTATGCTCCATAACCAACTGGATCCAGCTTTGTAACAAGTAGTTGCAATTAAAAACACATAATGGGAGATTTTCATGGATTTCCAAAAATGCCATTGTTGTATCTTTTTTTGTACAATTACAGCTGCTTTGAAAGACATTAGGACTACACAGTGGATATGGTGATTGTTACCACACATATAAGCTCCACAGTGACATCTAGCTGACCATTATTGGGGGAAAAAAGTGAATTATACAATTCAAAAGATGCTTGTCTCTTAGTAGTTTCATTTAAATTCTAAACAAGCCCTATAAAAAATATAAATTAGATGTCAACATGCCATATCATTATTATGATATAGAACATCTGTCCCCAACTGATGCACTCC